GTAGGGAAAATATACACCGTTATACGTAATTTATATTTAATTAATAAGTTTACTAACTTTAAATTATACACAAATACGTAAATTTATTGCTATAACGTTTCATACACCATCCTCGACGCAATTCCTGTTGTTTATGAGGAAGATCGTGACTATGCTGAACGCAGGGGCAATAATAATAAAAAAAAAACAGATTTGTTGTTTGTTCAAAGTTGTAACTCCCTAACTCTTAGAATAACTTTTTCCTGTCAATATGCATAATAATATTCCAAACTCTGTCGTGTATAATAATGAACTCACGCATAGAGCGGAAAATATTATTATGTAATACTTTTGGCCTATCTAAAAAACCCATACCCTTTTGAAGAATATCTTTGATCGGACAATTATCCAGGATCGTTGTGCAATGAATCCTCTGTGAACAAAAAAAATCTCACTATTCAAATTAAAAATTTGCCTTCGACACATGCATTTGATGATTTTATTAACGATACGTCATTAAGGAATTTTCATTATATACAAATGCAAAATTGTTTGTATCGCAAAAAACATATAAACACTGCTTGGTGTACCTTCGTTATTTCTTTTTTGTTTCATCGTTACAAATAAATCTCGGACGAGATTTCATGGAATAAATGCTCGTTAAATGATTTTTTCATTATTTTATCCTTTCTTTTCTTACTGAATGATTTTCGGTTTCTAACATGTGTTACAACCATCGTCGTGTAAAAACGATACTTTTTCATCGAAAAGAAGTGGTTTTCGTAAATTTTTTTACTGGCCAAAGTATACTTACTTCCTTTTTTTATTCAAAAGTAGTACGCGCAATTGTAACATGCAAACTACGATAAAGTAGACGTCAATGCTATAAATAAATTTCAACGGTTACGCTAAACAAACTAAAAATCCTCATTCGCTTACAACGAATTCTTAAAGTATGTATACAAAAAAAAACTGAAAACGATAATTATAAATACATTTTTACACTAAAATGAAATTAATAAACTCAGCCTCTGACTAGTATATCATTCAATTTTGTTTACAAAAAGCACTTCCTCACAGAGGGGTTAAAAAAAGTATACGTTTTCGTGAGACGCGGATAAATTTAAAAAACAATCGTAAGAGAAACAGGAGAGGGAAGCAGGAACGGTTGGCTTTTAGAATAGAAGCGATGTATCTAGTAGTAGACTCTGTTCAGACTTGTAATGTATTCTCCTCCGACCATACTTTGCCAATCATGTGTTGGTACTGATTCATCAATACCGTGCCCACATTGTACCAACAACTTACAACATTTTTAACAACTCTCTATTACTCCCAAAAGCTGCAGTTTGTCGACAGACGCGACTATAATACAAAGCAAGGGCACTTGATAAAATAACTTAGTCTTCTATTTCATAATTATCTATATATAACGTACATATATAAAACAAATTATGAATAAAGAAATAATAATCAGGTCGGTACAGTATTTTTTATGACTTTAACCTTAAAATTTTCCTTTCAACGCCTGATTATACAAATCGATATATATGTATGTATATGTATATATATATATATATATATATATATACATAATACACATACATACATATATATCTATCATGAAAAATGTAAGATCCATGATCAATGCGCGCCGAAGTCCACTCTCGAAAAAGAAAGAAAAACAAAAGAAAAAAAATATATAGGAGCCACTCTATCAGGAAATTCTGGATTAAAGGTGTACATGTGTGCACAGGGGCATATAATAAGCAGTGGACTACGATTCTATACGTTTCTTTTTCATTTGGGAGCATCGTGATTCATTTACGTTCTTTACATTCAAACCTTAGATCAATCAATCCAGTATAGATAAAGCCCACTCGTTTCAGAATAGGAACAACCAACCAAATCTCCTCGTGTATGTTAATCGTTATTAGTCATGATATAAGTAATAATGTTAATATTTGAATAAAGTAACATGATGTGCAGTCAAATATTCATGGAATACTTGACTGCACGGAGGTCATGCGAGGATCCACCACAGTTATCTTTCCACTGTCAATGCTGTCCTGTTCTTTACACCATATATATATATTATATCGAATTTATTAATAAATATATATATAGTATAAATATATACACGCACGCTAGTTTTAACAATCTTTCGTCACATTCACTCATGCATACGTAACTTCCGAAGAGAGGAACGTCTCCGCAAAAGCAAAGTCCCTCTAAAACTGCTTTGACGCGATTTGCCTCGGAACGACAATTAAATCTTCCGTTGCTCTCTTTGTTCACCGAGTAATTCACTTCCAATGATTCCCCGTTGCCGTACTCCTTTGTTTCCTTTTCTTCGTAAATTTGAACTTCACTTTAATTCACAATGACTTATCACATGGTTTTTTTTTCTGTTTCTCTTATTTCTTTTTAAACACTATTTATCAAGTCAGCTCACTGTTTGATACAAGGAACGATAATACAATTGAATATTTACGAACACAACATTCTTTTTTTTTTGTCATGCTGAATAATGTAGCTTGTCTTGTAGAAAGACGCAAGCTCCTGGACTTGCGGCGACCAGTCTCGCATCTCTCGCAATATTTTTATATAGTCGGCCTGTAAGTATAGTTGTAGAGGTGGTGGTGGTGGTGGTGGTAGTGGTGATAGTGGTAGTGGAGTGGTAGTGGTAATCGTGGTATTGGTGATTGGTGATACTATCCGGGTTTTTTTTTTAGTATTTACAGTTCGTTATAGCAATCGCTATTTTTCTAAGATGAGATGGTGTGCAATTCAGTGTTCAAGATTTGGCATGTATTAGCATATCAAAGATTTTGTCTTTAGTTCCTTTCCACTACGAACTGCTTGACGCGTTCATACCACTAAACATGCCAATGCTAAACGAGGTTTGTTGCTGCTGCTGTATCTGTTGTTGCTGTTGCTGCTGCTGTTGATTATTCGCTTGACGGCCATGCTTTGGCACTGGAGGTTGAAGATATTCGTGTCTAGCTAATGTCAATACATCTATACGTTCTTCTTTCCTATACGCTAGGCAACTTCTTATGAAACTCTGAAAACATTATGATACGTCAACGGTTTTCTATCGAATGGCTTAGTATAGCTAATGTATATTACAAGTGAACAACAAGGATATTAAATTGTATACCTTCGCTTCGTTGCTAACAGTTGGTTTATTCGCGAATTGAACTTCCGTGGCTTTCAGAATTGTGTTTTCTTCTAAAATTGTAGCTTGAGATTGATTATGTCCAAAAGGCTGGAAAAATGTTACGTTCATTGTTTACAATTCATTCGATTGATATTACAGAAAGAGAAAAAAGTAAAAGTTACAACACAATGCCACAATACTCAATCGTACCTTTTTACCGTATAGACATTGGTAAAATATAACACCTACACTCCATACATCAACTTTTGACGATATTTTGGGAGGATTTTTACCAATGACAAAACACTCCGGTGGAAGATACCTGAGAAATAACATAAAACGTTTACACTTTATATTTTGTCACGTGTTATTGATAAATTCTAGTATAGATACGTAAAAAGTCCGTTTCCAGGGCTAAATTTCAAATAAGAAAGCGCCCAGTCTTTACATTCCAATTAATGTTATTATTTGTCAATAAGAGCAATTAAGTTATACTTAGATACACATACCAGTAGGTACCAGCGCCTTGGGACGTTAAATCCATTCCATGGTCTGGATTGTAGTTCTCTTCATCCATTACTTTACTTAATCCGAAGTCTGTAATTTTTATCTCTCCGCAAACATTGCCTTCGGTTAATAATATATTACCTGCAAGGTTACAATATTGATATAGTATATTATGCAAAATTCATTACGATTAAAAAATGGAATGGGAAAAGCTGGATTTTAGCTTCTCCGAACGAAAGTAAAATTAGCTTTTACGTATTGTAAAAATGTACCTGGTTTTAAATCGTAATGTATGACTGGGGGTTTTATTTCATTGAGGTATTTTAATGCAGACACAACTTGCATAACAATAGATCTTGCTTCTCTTTCAGGTATAGTTTTATGCTAAAAGAAGGATATATTTTATACAAAACTACTAAAGTATAGTAAATAACTGTTATATGACAGATAAAAACGTCTTTATATTGAAGGTATGTCAGTATACATACCTGCTTGAGGTAAAAATCTAAATCGTGGCCATCACAATATTCCAAGACAGTACAAAAGGAATTGGCATCAATTTCAAACACATCATACAACTTCACAACACGAGGATGATCAAGAGCTTTATGAATATTATATTCTCGTAACGCATGTCTGTGCAAAAAGTTAATAAAGATAATTAAAAGGAAACACATTATTGCATTTAAACAATTTTTATATAATAATATGTGCAGTCTAAACAAACAAACACTCGATGTAAATATTATTACATCTTTATAATTACAAATTTGTTTCGATTTGAATTCACTACGGTTTACATAGTAAGACTATCTCAACGATACTTACTTAATATAATTAGCTTTTTTGTCCTCTTTCCAGTCTTTATTCAGTTGATGCACTTTACAAGCGACGTATCGTTGCTCTTTTAAGTCAAATGCCTATATAAATAAATTATGTAGGGATTAATTCAACAATCGCCTATTATAAAGGAATATTTTTAGGTTCCTGTACCTTATGCACTTCACTGAAGCCACCTTTGCCTAATAACATTAATAGAAGGTAACGTTCATTCAACACAGGATGAGAGTTGAATCTTGATTGGTCCTCGTTATGAATACGTTTCAACTCTCGGATGTGTAAGTTTCTTTCTCTTTCAAGTTTTTCCATTTCTAGTTGCAGATCTGCATCTTCTTTCTTTAACGCGCTTTGTCTTAACTGAAGATCGAGCACGTACACGATTGCATGAGAAACAGATAGTTGTAATTAAAAACATAAATATAAAATTGTTTTATCACCTTGAGTATTTCATCAGCTTCATAATACTCCTGCCATGTATAAGATCCAGGTACTGCATCTGGTTTCAAGAATGTAGCCTCTGTACCATTATGCAAGGAAGGTTGTGGCTGACTACGTTTCCTACCAGTTTCACTATTCGATGGCCTCTTTTTGAGTAACAACTTTTTTTGCTTATCAATTTCTTCTCGTTCAGTCGCAATTTCTTCTTGCCGTCGTGCTAATTCTTGAAACGCGTAACCGTCTGTCCAATTCTCTTGAAACGTCGCGCCCACCCTCTGAGTCACAAACTGACCCAATCTCAGTCTATTTTGCATACACTTTTGCCTAGCCTCCTTTTTTTCTATGTTTGATTTTTCTTTCAGTAATTTCTTTACAACGTCTATACACTTATTTATATGGGATTTGTGCTGTTCGATTAGTTTCTGTTGGTTAGCCATCTGATGCCTAAGTTCATCGGTTGTCTGAAAATGAAATACACAACATCATGGTTGTTAATCGTACAGAAATTTGAAATAAAGCCTATTTTATCACATTATACGTAAACGTTTTCGTATTGTTACATTCGAATAACAAAATACTTGGCAGCATTTTTATTCTACATTGAACCCTACATCTTTCGTCTTGTTTGTTGTTGATAACACATCCAATTGAATATTCAAAGACAATAGAAATTTTACACATTTTACTTACTCTATTCAACTCATCAATTTTGCTGTTACGTAATTCTAAATCTGACGAGGCTTGAGTTTCGAATTCCTGTATCCTCTGGCAAGTAAGTTCTGTCTGGAATACAATTAACATATTTAATGGTAATTAAAAACACAATCTCACTGTAACATCTGATACATTTGTCAGCATAGTTCAGAAATAACAGATACCTTGTTGCACCCAGATAAAGGTAACATATATAGATTAAGTTGCTTATTCTGTACTGTTTTAGCCCAAATAGATATTTATAATAGATCGATCCTACATATTATTCAATTTTAACAGGTTCTCTCTTTTGTCATTGAACGTAAAACTACAGGACAAAACCCAAACGTATTTATAGAACAGAACTATCACAGGCAGCAAGGAAAACACCAAAAATGTATGCATGATTCAAGGTGTGCAGTGTGAAAACAAAAAGAAAAAAACTGTAGAACACTGTGCATTTCACATATTTGTTTTCTCTCCCTAAGAATGAACAGCACTTTATTAAATTCAACATATTGTTCCTGTGATAAAATAAAATTACAAACAAATACAAGAGTGATAAGCATGCGCACCTGTTTCTTTTTTTCTGGTGAGCAACATGGACTTCAAATTTAGTAATTTCAATAATTTAGAAGCAAGACAAAAATTTTGGATTAATGAGTGATATTACAAGGTAGGCTGCACTCCTATGATAACAAATGGATACAGTGCTACAGTTCAGTCAGAAATCGGCTGAATTTATTGCAAACATCTGACAAGAAATGCCCATTATAAAATTAATTAGAGAAAATCAAACATACAAAGCAGATTTACGACTTGTTCTTTACACAAAAATTTATGTAACTTGATTACCAGTGAATACAATGAAACAGTAAGTATATAACATTTGTAAACAATGTAACCGTACAATGTATTTCACCTTTTTCATTGACAAAAAACATTACAACAACTTAACAATCGTCCTTTAAAATAAATATAGAAAACTATTTCAGTTATCTGTATCTTCGAAGTATAAAATATCTTGTATGTGTATGGTATCAATTTTGATACTCGTATCACAATTCTGGTATCAACGAATTAAGCATGAGAAATTGTTCTTCTTTTCAGACCGTTTAATGCAACTCTTACGGTATACTGTTGTAGTGAAATCTGTAAAGTAATTTGGAAGAATAAAACTGTATACAAGTGAGAGTAGAATACTAGCTTCACAGATTGAATTCTTATGGGTTGTTTCTTATAAAATGCTTGCAGGAATTATCGAATTTTGCTTACATTTGGGGTGTTAGTCTTCGCTTGCCTGACCTGGCTTGTCCTACTGAGGTTGGTAGGCCTTACCTGCACCTGCTTGCTGACCATCGAGCCTGCAGGTTGCGTTGAGGCTGGTGGAGGAGGAGGTGGAGGTTGAGGATGAGGTCTTGGCGGCTGCATCAGTGAAGAAAATTCTGCTACTGAAGAATTGGGTGTTGTTACTTGTGGCGAAAGGAGTTGTTGGGGCGATGGTGGATACTGTTGACAGATAATTAGAAGATATATCAAGGAAAGAGTTATATGAATATCATAGTGTAATTATGTTATGTAAACAGATTTAAAATAAACGACAGATTGGATAATTCATATTTACCATAGGGTAACCCTGTTGAGGGGAGGGACTTTTAGCACCACCATGCCGAATAGGGCTACTGCCCAAATGATGTTTTGGAAAATACTCATTGATTTTTTTGTTCTCAAGGGCAGCAATGGATCTAGACCCCTTACTTCCTATAGGTCCTACCGTAACTCCTCCACTTCCATCATCAGCTTTACGCTTTCTCTTTCTTTCCGAAGGAGTTCTTGGTACCTTTTCTGGAGTATTTGGGTCTACCTCCTTATCACTATGCGATGAGCCTATAGTTGTATTGAAATTATCACATTTGTGCCATAATGTATGGTTGTTCTTACAGTGTTATTAAAACAGTTAGTATTTTCTTTATTATGACGCTGAAGACAGTGTGAAACTTACCAGTGCTCATGTTCGAATCTTGACTATGAACCGACTGACCAGAGTTTACAGTTGATTGGGGTGCCATCTGAATTTGTGACCCAGCAGACATCTGAAATAAAGAGACACCGATGTAAAATAATGCATTCGACATTTTTTTTTTGTACGAAAATACATTACAAGAAAATACGAAGAAAATCAATATCGTACTAACGGAATGAAACATACATATGTCGATCAAAACACCGCAACGAAGGACATTGAGCATATTATGTGGATCTGTTTTATGCATTTACCAATACTGAGAAATTTAGTATAAGCCTGTTTAGAGAAACAACATGGAGAAAAGTATCGCATCGCGAATCAAGATTCTGATACTCGTCGAAGAGGTTACACTTTGAAAATCATACCGGCACATAAAATATTGGCTAACGAGGATCACATGTTATTAAAAGATACGATATACTGTAATAAAGTAAAGTCAAACGAATAGAAAAAGACCGTAGGAGTAGTACAGGAGACAGGACAGAGAAAGAGACAGAGAGAGACAGACGTTACAATGTGTGAGTGAGAAAGACGTAAGTTTAATAAGAAATCGTAAGACAGTATGAAAGAGAGTGAAAGATGAAGAAAGGAAGAACGAGAAGGAAAGAGAACTCGGGTTAACAGACAGTATGTCAACCATAGACACGGTATCGCGCACAATTTTTAGGTAAATGTCAATAGCACCGTATGAAGAAAATGTGCGATATATGTTTAGAGCTAGAGGAATCACGACAAAATGGAGGAGCGCAGCAGAGGGGGGCGACGGAAGGGCAGGGAGTTTTACGGGGCTAGAGAAGAGGGAAGAAGGAAGGCGACGTAAAATGGAGAGGGGGTGGAAGTAGAGAAACACAGAGAATGAGAGATAGAGAAGGGGGGTAAGAGGTAAGAACTCGATGGCAGAGGAGTGGTTGGATCGGGAACCACGGACGCATACCGCAAGGGGGCAGTTTTACTCACTGCTTCACTTCTGAACTCTGGTCAGGCCGGCTAGTTAACTGGCTTTCCTATCGTACATACGTTTCTACATACGCACCAAATACTGCCATTAGGCGAGTTGGCTTGGATTAACAGCAACGATAATCGCGACGACACACTACGTCACCGGGGCCCGTGACGTCGATACCCCGATAAATTACGCACTCTTATTATTATTATCGGCGGCGTGTCAGCCACGTTTACTCTGCGCGCGGTTAAGAACCCGGATTAATGGTAAGTCCTCATGGACGCGGTCACGCGTTTGCGCGTTTGCCAGGCGGAACGCACACGTTCGAATTCCACGCTCTGTCACTGACGTGCACACGTTGCTTGCTTACGATTAAAACATCGCTACCGCAAAGGCGCCGCAAATATGGATGAATCCTTTAAAAAGTTGCACTCGCTTACGTCTCCCCTCGACGAAACATCCGTCTTAATTTTATCTGCGGTCTCGTTAAATTCGCACGTTATTGTTAAATTAACGGGTTCTCTCCTATTCATAGAATTAAATCCCATAGAGGATTGTATAGAGATGTTACTCTTTTGTTTACAATGCAATATATGTGCAACGATTCAAAATAATATCCGCGCTACGAAACAAACTGATTTCTCAATAAGTAAAATATTTTGTGAAATATAGAGAAACAAAAGATTTACGTTTCGTTTGTTTTACGATGAACTCATTATTTCGTCGGTTGACAAAGTGATTACATCCAAATTATGCACCGAACGAACGAAACGATAAGAGATCCCGGTAATGTTTCGTATTCTTATCACGGTTCTGTCAGTAGGCGAACAATAATCTTGTTACCAGTCTTATTATTGTGATCATTCGAGGCAGAATTTACAATACGTGTTAAAAATAGTTTGGCGTCAGTATTCCGTTAAATTAAACGTTCCGTGTAACATCGCGCATCGAGATTTTTATTTTGAAGTTCTTTTACACGATGTGTAATCGAACCAGTGACGTTTAATCGCGGAAAGTATTCAGGAAAATCAGCATAATAAAATGTTCTGTCACGTAACATAGCAAAATGCATCGATACCAGCTATCCGTCGTTTGGCGGGGTCCAAAAATAGATGAAAAAGAAGCGAACGCAATGTTTATAAGGGCATCAACACTTAAACCGTAATGGACATCTTGAATCTCCATCGAAAACTGCCTGACAACCGTAAGTGCGTTCCATTCCACGAGTGAAACAACCAAAGGACTCACCGATCCGCGATATATGCAATTGAACACAATAAGAGTAACGAGAGATTTCAAATTTAGACGATATTTTCAAGATACATTGTGTGTATGACTTCATTTAGCTTTAACGCGCGTATCCATGTTGCGTCCAGTACGTACGTGGATTGAAAACAGGAAACCGAAAGCACGATTAATCGTCTACGCAAATAATTTAAATGGTAGATCGACAAAAAAATTACCCACTGTAACACGCAAAGAAAACTCACGGGTTGACGGGTGTCACCGATCAAAAGGACACCGACGATTTTCGAAATGGAGGAAACTCTCGATGTGGTTTCACAGAAGAATATTTCGTTTCACTTGCTCCGAGCACAATTACATTAAATATGCCAAAAAAAAAAGTGTCCAACAGAGGGGATAGGAAACTTCCTTATCGATGAATCAATGGCCGTGCCCGGAACTGGGCTAGAGGGCCGGGAAATCGTTCCTCCGGCAGCGATTTGCTTTTAAGACGGGGCACCTGTGTGTCTGTATATTCGGTGCGGGTTACGCGAGGCGTGCGAAAACGCTGCTGCTCGGGGCGGTGAGTTACTCACGGGGACGTACGTGTGTGGCGACAATATTATATACGAACCCAGTGAATCGGGGCATGCGGATTTTAACCAGTGCACTCTCCTCTAATCCTGACGATCTGGCTCCGGTATGGCCATAACACACACCACGGTAGTCGTGTATCGAACGATTTAAACCGCACCGTTGTCGTCGCACATGAGCTATCTTTTTTTCCCGAGCACACACGACACACACTGACAAAGGCTGGGCTCACTTCGTGTCTTCATCGACGACAACAGTGCAGTTCCACTTGTAAAAGTGGCGTGCAGTTAGCGCGCCGGGTAAACAGCAATAGTAACAGCAGCAGCAGCAGCACCAACAGCACCGAGTGCCGTCAATGGCCACGATAAACGGCATTACGCGTACGGTTTCACGGGCCACAAGCGAGCCAAAATCCCCGGCGTGGACTCGCCTAATCGAAACGGAACTGGAACTGTCCGACCACCGTGCCCCGCTCGCATACTACTATCTAGCGGAGAGGTTTCTCTCTTTCCTCCCTTTCTCGCTCGCTCCCGTACGTTCGTCGCGTTCGTTCGCTCGCTCTCGCGCTCTCCCTCTTTCCTCTCCTCTCTCCTTTCCACTCCACTCCTATGTACGGCAAATGAGCAACGCGCGAGATTCCGAGATGCGGCAAAAGGTGCAACCTCCACCTCCCCCCCGCGGGCGACGGCACTACCGCCCTGCGATCACAACAGACAGAGACGAGAGAAAGAGAGAACATTCGAAGGGAACGAGAGAGCGAGTGAGAGAGATAGACAGATAGAAACTCCGAGAGATCGAGAGACCCATGAGAGGAAGCAGCAGCAGAGAGGGGTGGAGAGGAAGGCGAAACCAGAGGTTGGCGGAGTTCGGGTGGAGAGGGATGGACACGGCAAGTAAGTTGGAAAGAGAGCTAGCTTCACTGAGGGAGAGGTTTCGCCGGGGGAGGGTCAGGAGGGGCAAAGGGAGAGGAAAAGGGAGCCGGAGGGAGGCATATGAGACATTCCTTCAGTGAACGGGTCGACCGAGTGTGAGTGCAAGCGAGCCGGTAAAATCGATGTGGCGAAGTGTGGCTGTGCCACTACGGCGTGCAAAGGGTGTGCGTTGTACCCTCTGTATGTGATATCGGTGGTCTCGGGCTTGTCGCGTTATTTCGTACTGTAATACAATTCATCGTATTTGTCGCTGCGAAATCGTTCCAAGGAAACGAAATACTCCCGATCGCGCACGAAAAATATTCTTCCGACAATGTTGGATTATTTAGCAGAGAATGTTTGAATATCATTGAAAGTACAAATATGCTTCGGAGAAAATTGTCGTGTAATACTTTCAAAATGTCTCTCATAGGCAGCAATACAAGTCTTTCGTTTAAATGACAAATTAATAATTATTCATCTTTACATGTAAAACTATCCTATCGTAATTACACCTCTTCCGTATTATTCTTCCGTCTTTCCCGAAGTTACATGAAATCGTCCGTTACATCAAGCCGTCAATCGAATCATCGCGAGATAATAACCGCGTTTCGAGAAACACCGAGTGTCTCCCGGGTGTTAAAGTTCGTGACGAAGATCGATATCCCGATACGATGTAAGTGTTCCCGGTAATGCTGACTCGATGAATTTTAACGAAACCATCAATGACAAATAGTACATACCCGACGAGAATATACAAGGTTGTCGAGGAAGTACACTTGGAGTCGGTTGCGACACTATTTTAATCCCGTAGAATCACGTACCGATTTGCACGATCGTGTTTAAGGTATCGTGTACATAGGGGGATAGCACCTGCCTCTCGGAGTTGAGAACATAGAGCGCCCCCTCAGCGGTTTCGCTAGTTACGCTCCTGCAATACGCCGTGCCGACGCGTGCTTCGGCCTGTGCGAGGGCGTATTGGCAAGATGTAGTCCCCCCAGTGGTGGGGATTGAAAGAACCAAACGTACGTACGAGATGACGGCTCGGACGGACGAACATAACCGGTCGGACGGGAGGGCAGGCGGGAGAGTATGTCAGGTTTAGGTCGAACAGCACAGGCGTTCTCGGTAGTCGCGTTTCAACGCTCCGACGGTGCGGTTGTTTGACGTCTCTCTTTCTCCGTGTCTTTTTCGATCGTGTGTTCTTTTTACTCCGTTTTCATGATTCCTGGTAAAATACATTCCTGTGTATTTATGGTAATTGCCGAGTACCAATCAACGTGATATGTTGCATTCGAATTCCGTGTTATGTGATTTGAAACCGTTTTTGTGAATAATACTGACAGCCGTGATCGAATATAATCTTACTGTATGTTACTCTAACACGTCTTTGAT